CTCGTTCTGCTGATAGCTCCCCCTCATGTCAGCGCAAGCGACGTCGTAATATTACCATGACAACGCCCGCATACTCGTATTTGTCAAACTAGCGTGTGCGATCCGAGGAGCTTTATCACAATAAAGTAATCACAGTAAATAACGTTTATCGACGAGTTCCCGCTAATAAAACTAATCCCCATGGCCTTGCAAAGCAATTATAGAAAAATATTGACCGTGCTATAAAAAATGAGGAGCCATGTGATCTATACCAATTTGACTTTTATAAGTCTTTGTTCAGGTCACGGGGACAGGGCGACCACGCGATTAAGATATGATCTGTGCAGTTTTTATTTCATTTCATCGACATGCATGCGGCGTGCATCTAATGCGCGTGCGTATATAATGACATTTAATAAAGGGGGATCTCTGCGCATTTCAGTATAACTTGTCCTCATATTGATTTGATTCTCAATGGAATAATTTGAACGACATATTAATAATATTAAGATGGTGATAGCATGTTGCAGATTTAATTACTCATCAACAGAAAGCAATGTCAGCGCTTGATATCGCTACTTAGAGAGTCAGGGAATATTTTAATTATTTTACCAGAAATACACTCCATACATCATTACCAAAATTTAATCTTCTATAGTCGTCGTAGTTAGAAATGATATGCAATTTAGTAAGGCAGTCTCTCTGTGAACCCATCATACCAATACACGGTACTTCCAGCTGATCGCGCATCGTCGCTCGGATCGCGTCTTTTTCATCGTTCATCATTGAAAGGCGGCGTCGAAAGAAGTGCAGAGTCGATAATAAGGGGGTCTACCTGGCGATACGGCGCCACTTAAAATTAATAGATACGTACCGCAGTGAGCTCAGTCGTAGCGGCGTGTCAAGAGTTCCGAGTCGACAACAAGCTGGGTAGTTATTTTGTGAATTTGTATAAACCTAAGGAGTCTCCGTAACGACAACGGTTGTAACTCCTGTTACATCGCACGTTAGTTTCACTCTCCGTTTCCGACTGTGACTACTATGGCAACTCAACGTGCACATGTAAAATATAAAATTCCGGACGGATTTGAGTCACTCCTAGAAGGTCTGACGAAGGAGATATTGAGATCCCAGCCAGAAAATATATACACGTTCGCAGCCGACTATTTTGATTCACTTATCAACATCAGAGGTAAGTCCCAATAATTCACGTGAACTGATGCACACACAAACGTATCATGAATTCCGTAAACATTTACAAAAATCAATGCATTGCTTTGATATTGTCACATGTCTCGGGAAAGTATTTACTGGTAATATGTATGTAGTCATTGCCCAATACTGCATATATGATGTTTTACTCGTGTTCAGTTTATTTTTTTCAAAAATATCTATCTATTATTTGGTTTATATACAAGTTCACATCGTATTCCATACCATATCTTTGTATGTCATGTCCATATCTCTGTATGTCATGTCCATATCTCTGTATGTCATGTCCATATCTCTGTATGTCATGTCTATATCTCTGTATGTAATGTCTATATCTCTGAATGTCATGTCAATATCTCTGTATGTCATGTCAATATCTCTGTATGTCATGTCCATATCTCTGAATGTCATGTCAATATCTCTGTATGTAATGTCTATATCTCTGTATGTCATGTAGGTATTGCATGTACTACTGATTCTGGGGATTGTATATTGAATATTAAAATGCATCTTTGCGGTGTAGTACGGAAAACATATTTTAAACGCGAGAGATTGCCCAGTATAGATGAAAAACATCGTTTGTGGAAGGTAATATATACCGCAGCACTGGTCATTATTTGGGTGATGAAATTTTTAATTGAAAGCAGCGATGAGTGTTGATTGACCAGTTTTTAATATGCTACTTTTACAATGGACATCGTATTGGGACATCATTAATATAAAATCTATGCTATGAAATATACATGAGGAGCATAAATATATACTCGTGTCATATGATGTAAATTATCTGAAGGTGATTCACGGCACCCCGTGCCTCATCAGGTTTAGTTTATCGAAAGCGAAAATGTATTGACATTCGTGATTCAATCCCGCTGCACCATCTGCTACGCACTGCTTTTACAATCATTGCGTTGTACCGAGGCGTTTGCGTTACACATTAGGACCGTATTAACGTGATTAGTTGCCTCGACTCAATTGCGGCAATCTGATTTCATCATGATATAGAATGAAACCCACACTCTGTAGATTATAATAAGAAAACTGCAATGAAAATAATTATATTCCGGTGTCGATTGCAAGCGTATCTTTCCCGGTACCGTGACGCATATTCGATGGAATATAATCCATCACAATATTATGTTATCGCGTATAAACGTATCACCATGCTTACGCATTAAAAGTCGGGTCACTTGTTTCGAAATCAACTTATAATAGCTTTTTTTACCTACTAGCTATGATACATTCTTTGAGTTCACCGATGTTGTATCAGTCTGCAGCGCACACGGAATACCACCAATACCATTCAAATAAAGCTTAATTTGATCGGCTTCGGGATGTGTTTGGTGACTTAAAATATCATGATGTATATAAAGCATGTACACCGCGGTTTTAGTCAAGTCACATTTGCCGTACCGCTTCTTGATATTCCCCACACGTCAATATGACAATATCGTGAGTTCTCACTTTGAAAGGAAAATACAAAATGTACATGCAGTCGAATGCTGACTGAAATCGTTAAACTCTCGCACAAGTAGCGTGAGTAATGTTATGGTGTGCTGTGTGCTGTGTGCTGCATTCGAAAATTGACACAATGTCACCGTATTTTTGCGAACGACCTACCACAGACAAAGGCATTCTTCATTATTTCACGTCAGTTACGAAAGCTTAATTTAGCGCGGAAGAACACATACTGCAGTTTGTCCATGCCTTGGATTCAATATCCAGGTACTGCAGTGGCAGTAAACTAGTTTCAATGTCATTTATTACCATTTACAGTTTAGTCTGAACTTGCACACCATTTCACATTTATACGAGATCATTACTTTTTGTTATTACATTTCACATTGTGAATAAAATAATCCCTACCTCACTTAATACACCTGAGAATATCTCATACGGACTAAATCCGAACCTGTTATATTGTGGCATTGTTGCCACGGCAACTAACCATCAATTATTTCGATGAAAGTGTAAACGTCTTAGAAAACGGTATGCGATGAGAGTTGACATAGCAACCACTGCACAGGTTGTTTTGTTTTCATGTAATGATCAACAAATGACGTAAGTGGGATGTTACCACGACAACGTCATTTTTCAACAATGAAACACTAATTTAATTCAGTTTGAGCGACCGCATAAAATATTATTATTTGTTACCTTGGCAACAAGTAGCCGTCGTGCATTATAAAAATGAACTGCGAATGACAATAATAATGGCATTGACGGTAGGCTAAATATGGGTATGGTTGACACAAGGTCACGTGGTTAGGTCAAATATTCATTCGAAACACCCAAAAATATTCAATATTTTTACCACCTTGTGTACGGTTTTTTAATCAGTTTAAAATTTGACATTTGTGTAAAGCATGGATAATTTAGAATGATAATAGTACAACACAATTATATGCATATAGAAACGCCACACATGAACTACCTGAAACTGTAAGTGTATTAGGTACATATAAACACAATTTATGCTTGGTATGGTTCTCGTATTCGGCAATATCGCTCGCCCCTGCAATTGTTCAGTGCTACACGCGGCTTTAATTACGCGACTAAACGATGAGTAAGAGGCGAAGTTTACGAAAACACACTCTACACACACCTCAATAAGGTCGGAAATGATCATGCGACAATACATGACTCTTCACATACATATTTGTAAATTATCACATAAATAAACTGGCGATAAAAAAGTTACATTTTATAAATTAACAAGCGTAGTATAATAACTGAAAGCCCTGGACTAACTAGTATGAGTGTGGGAATGTTTGGTGCCAGGAATTTCGTGTCAGTTCAGAACGAACATTTCACGTAGACATCGAATAGAGTTCACAAATGAGAACGTCGTACTATACCGAAGTGTATCACTAAATTTCTTTACCAATTTGACTTCAGACTGGCCCATAACACCTGTGACATTTGTCGCCCAAAGTGAAGTCCTAGGGCAACATCGGGGACAAATAGCACAACCCAATTTCAGATATTTGTTTGTGTCGTGTCAAATGCGTCTAACTCTGGGTTATAAGTTCTACTTCTGAATGTGGGCTGTTATCAGTGTATTCTATGATAATAATTAAGTTAATAATTACACCAGTCCCTTGTGTACAACATGTGATTCGTTTATTATATCTCCAATCTAGCAGTAAAACAGGCCAGGGCTTGATTTCCAAATCCCAGTTAAAAAATATTTGTCAAAAATGTACATAAAATACATGTATTATGATAATATTAACGCTAGTAGCAGGTGTGATAATGTGATAATAGTAATACTTTACTGCTCAGTCCCCCTTTGAATTATTTTATTAACGTCTCGTCTATCGGCCATAATTACTAGTACACAGATCGTTAATCAAATAATCCATAGTGAACACTGCAAATTTGCATTTTCGACATTGTGAAATTCTTTTGTTTTTATGCAGTACAGTATTTTCATCAAGTAGAATCATATTTATCAAAGTTGTTGAACACACTACATAGTTTGTAATATCATTCAGCTTCTGTCAGCCATAATGCAAAACAAATATATAGAGAATATAGCAATTTATCTTCTTTATATTCTTGTGTAATCGATAATTATGAAAATAATTTATGGATGTATAGAGAATACATATCGAATCATTCCTAATATAAATTTATGAATTATCTTGTCAAAATCAGTTTTTTCATGTTTTTTCTCTAAAAAATGAAAGAATTTCACAATGTCGAACCGGAAAGTCTTTATCGTAGCGTTATTATACATGTCCGTCTTATCAAGTTGAATGAATACATATTTGGTTTCGTAATTCACTATTATATATGATAACATTAAAATAATGATAACTGTGATCTGTACTCAGGTCAGGTGCTCTATATTTCACATCAGATAGTGAGGATCCCGCAATCAACACACTTATAGATTTTTTTTTGAAATATTGGTAAATTATTCTTTGTGATTGGCTGTTTTAAATTCCGGTGAAAAATGCGGGTACCTGTAATGCATTTTAAACTGGCCACTAAAGTTGGATTTAACTAAAAAAAACGCTGAAATAAATACTTGCCGTTTCAGCGAATTCAGTGGCTCTATGTATAGATTGGCACTGGTAGACACAGCTATCAGCTATGACAATGAATCGTGATTTTTATTTTTCACTTGAACATTTATAAGGTGGAACTTATTCACTCTCCAAAATTATTTAAAATTTTACATTTTTTACGAGATATTGTTAGGCGCGACCAAGTTGTCAACAAAGATATGTTTTGATCTTGGTAATACAGTTATTGTGAATGATTAAAGCCGGGGAGTCGTCACCTGCGCATGCGTCAGACGGCCATAGCGTGTCATTGTTTACAAACAAGCGCCTTCTCATGAGCCTTTGCGGTTTTTAGCGTGTGTTGTTATCGTCCCGACCCTCGCGCTTTAAATGCAATTCCAATCCCAAAACAAAATAAATCGGCTGAATTAAATGTTTGTGGACGGTCGGACGCTCGGCGCTTTTCAGCCTACCCCGCCTCGTAAAATGTGTGTGGCTCTCATCAAAATACTCTTTTTAGATAAACATATAAACTGAAGTAAATTCCTATACAAGTTTACTTACTTTTGTTATCTTATGACTGCGTGTTTGTTACGGCACCTGAACCACGGGCGCAATACGGGAGTAGTTTATTACGTTCTGTAACCTTCAAATGGCAACGATTCGATTAATTTGTACCACTACTACTGTAGTGAAATGGGCGAGGTTTCGGCCAATCAAATTGTCGGTATGTATTACGTGTTGCTTAATTTGTAGTCAATTTGTCTCCTATTGGTATATGATTCTCATATAACATGTCACGAATAAGTATATAACCACGGCAACTCTAGAAGATCTATTTGACATTTTGAGACAGCAGTGATACAATTGGTGACACATTATGCTCACGTTTTTGGAGATCCGCGGTATTGCGTTTCCGTTTTGATCTGCGTGCCCGTTTATACTCGCACAGAACGTTGCAAAAGTA